GGTCTTCCTATCTATTTCACTGCTGGGAACACTGTGATCAATTAGCAGGCATCCAAGTCCACGGGTCAGACCTTTGTGAACAGTGCATTTCCATATGTTGTACATCACAGTGAGTACATTCACCTTGCCTTGGACACCCAGTGCTGCCACTTGGCCCTTGTTACCCTGGGATCCAACTGAACCCCTGGCCAATGAAGTCATCTAACAGAGCAGCCAGCTCTCCCTCTGTATGGTCTAGCACAAACAAGGGCAGTGATGCAGTGTTATCAAGCCACTTCACAGCTCTACTTCAATGAAGAAGCAGCCTGACTTAGCTCTCAGTTTTATGGCCGAGTGGACTCCAACTCTGAGAACCACCCACTCCTTTTGATGTCACTTGGGACTGTGCTTTCGAGTCAGGTTTTGCCTTAATTTTATGGAAGTGGTCTTTCCAGCAACAATTTGGGAAGCAGAAGCTAAGATCCACCCTTATTCTCTGATAATCAGAGAATCTTGTCCTTTGTCCCTTACATCTAAAATATCTCACACACATAGTATCAAGTAGACTTCTCAATTATTCTCACTGTTTTCAATGAGAACAGCATGCCACTTTCCACACTTTGATATGCTTTGATTTGTTAAACAAGTATTCCCACATTCACTCACTATCTTGAGTGGAGAGCAGAGTGGGGTTCTGAGAGATTAGACTCAGGTGCCCAGGTTAAAAGAGCACATGGTTCAGTGAGCATGTTCACATTATTAAAAGTAGCTTTATGGCACAAGGTAAAAGCCATTAGTTCAGATTGTGTGCACATTGTAAAAGTCATTCCTACACAGTGGCAGTTCTGCTGGTGTCCTGGTTCTTTGCTCACAAGTCTGCTTCCTCTGGTGCTAGTGGAGGCCACATGTTCTGGACCCTCCATTGTGGAGGAGGAGGTTTTAAAAGCAAGTCCACTCCAGTATTTCAGCACCCTGGATCCCTGATATCAGCATCTCTAGCTCATTCTCCATAGGCAGTCTTTTTGTCAAATACTTTAGCTAGCCAATCAAACAAACCTTTGATGCCATTTTTAACTCTGTGAGTTGCAATATTAAACCTACAATCTCTGCGTAATGAGCCCGTATTGATAAAACCACCCTGATGTAGATTTGTGTTCCTGACACCTTTTTTCCAAACCCTTAAACTCCATTCTCACATACGTTCCTCAGATTTTTGCTTGTATAAGTTAGAAAACTCAAGAAGTTCATTGTTAGATGTGACCACATCTCCACACTGTGTCCCTCACCTCTAGACTTTTGTTATCCTCAAATCTAGATGAAGGTGCAGGGATGGGTGGGGGTGGTCAGGGTGGGCCCTGAGGGAACACAGTCTTTTTATCGTCTACTTCAGGAAAGGGCATTTCTGGTTTCACAGCCAATGGAGGATTAATTCCCTTAGGCAAGGATGGAGAGCACAGTGAAGTATGCTGGGGATGAGGAAGGATTATGTCTTCAGGCACAATAAACCCACCAGAATCTGAGAGTTCAATATCCTCAGTCTCATACATGTCTCCATCCCAGGTTACAGGAGCCAACAGTGTTCCAGTCATTTAACTGCCAACACCCTTCTATGCCTGGACTGAAACTGGCATTGCAAGTCAGGCAATAATGCTATGATGAGAGCTTGGGTTTGATTTTGAACAACTTGAGCCTTACGGCTGTTGGAAAGAAGATTCTCTTCCAGGGCGTACTTAAAGGATTTTAGATGGTTTCTGCACATCTGGAAGTGAGCAGAAATTTCGTTTCTCGACTTCATCTTTTCCTTTGTTAGTTTTTATAGAGATGCTGGGAGCATCAAGCCAACATTGTTACATTCCTTACTTTTCTAGGACTGTTCAGCAGTTACATAAAGTCACTGGATTCCTTTTTCACAAGAGGTGAATCAGGAGTGTCAAATGCTTTTATCTCGCACAGCTCTTTAAGCACTTCACACCATGGATTATCAGTGCCCTTCATTACCAGGAGGGCCTTTAGGAACTTTAGGTTAACTTATTGGGCCAGCTCCAGATACCACCAAGCCTACTAGAGACATTAATCCCTACACCTCTGTTTCTCTGGAAACACTCTGGCACAGCAGTCTGTATTAATCAAGCCTCTCTAGAGGAACAGAACTGATAGGGTGAATATATATCACAAAAGTGGATATATATTGGCTTACGTGATGGGGTGAACAATCGAACAATGGCGTCTGCACCAGAGAGGCTGAGAACCTGGTAGCCGCTCATACCTAACAGGAGGAATTCATCTCTCTTCAGTCGAGTCTGTCCACCAAGAAGCTCATAGCTGAAAATGGCCTGGCCAGTATTCCCAGCAGGTGGTGAATACTTTATTCTAGAGGAGCACTCGGGCATGCATCACGGTCCCTCATAGTGATCTTAGTTCAGCGACAACTCAAACTGTAGCTGTTACAGATGGCTTTTGGAACTTTGTTTGCAGCTATGGACTTGACTGCCTGACTTACCAACTGAACTGGACTCTGAGTATAAAGTTACTAATTCTTTACTTTTGCAAAGATCCTGATGGTTACCCCTCCATTGTAGGATAGCTGGTTATAGTCCCATAGGCAGTGATGGCTCTGTGCTTCTGCCCAGCAGTGCCAGAGGAAGGATGAGGAAAATTTCTGGTCTTGCCTACAAAGGAAAAGGAACGCTTGCTTCCCCTCCCCCACCACTTCTTTCTTGCTGCCTGGATTACTAGTGAGATGGTGGGGAAGAGGGAACCATTATGGGCCTTCGATGGAAGGTGGAAGATTCAAGGTGGAAGGTGGAGGATGTGGAAGATGCTAGAAACAATAACTAAACAAAACAAAGGAAGCTCAGCAGGAAAATGGCAGGCACATCTGTGCTCTGGTTCACCTGCCCAGTCTTGAGCATGATGGGGAAGTAAGCTTTCTTCTTCTGAGTTTGCTATTTTACGTTTCTGATAGTTTAAATCCTAGTAATTTAGAGATAATGAGCAAAACCTCAAAAACAGAGAGCAGGCTGCCTTGCTTCTTTCACTAAACTCATAGGATTTGGGAATTATCAGCTAGCTACAGTGATGCCTTTTTAAGGTCCATTCAAGGAATGACCTCCAGAATGCTAATTCTAGAGAGACGTTTGACCAAAGGATCAAAGCAACAGCTGTTGGTATTATCAAGGCTTCACAAAAAGGTATCTCAGCTTTTAATTCATAATCCTACAACAGAAAAATAAAATAATTATAACTTCCAATATGGTCACAACAACAAAACTCAGAGGGTTTTGGCAAGACCATAGCAGCTTCTGGAGTAGCTATTCTATTTCCAACCAAGATGAGGTTTGTGGTGACACTGTGAGAACAGTGAACCAAAGCAGTCCATCCTGGGTTGAGCATTAGCTTGCACATGTCGCTATGGAGTTGAAGAGGGTCCTGGCTTGGGGATTTGCTCGGCGGCCTTGGTAAAGGCACGATGAACCCAGAGGATCATCAGCTCAAGCCTTGTGAGCACACTAAGGTGGCCTGACCCTCGCCCCATGTTGCCCCACCCAGTGAATTCCCCATTTCTTTGTCCTCACTGTACAAAGCCTGCCCAGTCCCTCTTGGTGCCTTCTCAGTGACTGTTGGCCTCACCTTTAAGGTGATTGGCTACGGCGGCACTCGTCGAGCCTGGAGATTGGTACCTATTCCCTATAAAGCCTGCTGCACTTCCTAGTAAACTTTAGATCTGCATCACAGAGCCTGGTCTCCAGTGTCTGTACGTCGTCTGACTGGCGCCATTGCCTCACCCCACATCCCGAGGACCCCGATATTACAACATGAAGTATCACATTTGTAGCTGCAATCCATCAACCAGAAGTTGTGTATTTAGGTCTCAAAGGCACAAGTCTTAATGTCCACAGTGCGCCACTAAATACAGACTGCCACCTTTTTCTGAACTCATGCCTTTTGCTTGGAGGGAATGTTAAGGCTCAAATGTAGCTTGTCTCTACCAGAATTCATTTCATCTCTTCAGTGAAGCACCTTTTGAAAAGCAGAGCCTAACGATGTTTGGATGGTAGAGGTGGAACATTCATAAGTAGACTGATGTTGACCTGCAGAACAAATGAGGTCTTAAGGAGAAAGTTCTCAGTCTCACGGGAGCGAGTTCTCAGGCTCACGGGAGCGAGTTCTCAGGCTCAAGGAGCGAGTTCTCAGTCTCAAGGAGCGAGTTCTCAGGCTCACGGAGCGAGTTCTCAGGCTCACGGGAGCGAGTTCTCAGTCTCAAGGAGCGAGTTCTCAAGCTCACAGGACTGGATCAGTTGCTGTAACAGTGAGTTGCTATAAAGCATCAGGCCCACTGTACTGCCATTTGACTATAGGACACAAGATCTTTAACAGATACAGACACCTGACCTTGAGCCTCCCAACCTCCAGAATTAGATGCCAAGTAAGCCCCTTCTCTTTACTGATTACTCAATCTTCAGAATTCTGTAATAGCAACAGAAAATGGACCAAAATAGAGAATAATCGCTTATGCTCATTTGAGCCAGGGTGAAAAGAGTGAAGGTTGGGTTACCTATGGCCCCAGGATAGATGACACAATAAAACTACGCACAAAGGCAGAATCGCTGATTTAAAATGTCCCAGGAACAACTCGAAAAATGTTTCAGGGAAGGGAAAGTAGAAAGATTGAGAAGTCAGGTCCTAGGAGAGGGCACTGTGGCACAGTGAAAAATGCTGATGCCGCTGGCACAGGGAAACAGGAAAGAACAAGACTACACTGTCCTCGAGTTCTGAGGGGCAGGAGGGATCGTGCAGGACAGTGGCCCAACGAGCATCATGACGTGGCTGGCTTTCGCCGTCAACTTGCAGAATTCTTACAAACACACGTACTCACTAAATATTTACACAGTTGCATTTATTTTTCAAAAAGTCAACAAATTTGTTTGAACAAGACACACTTTTTTTTAGCCATTTTCATTATTTAATGGTTCGTTTGCTTCACTTATAAAACAGGTACAACCGGAAAGGCCATGCTGGAATTAACTGGCTGTAGACTGTTCACACTGGTTCAAACAAGAGCAGGCGGTGATGTGCCTGTATCTGTAGGAGATGGAGCTGTCGTCAGGACAGTCAAGCTCAACATCCCTGAACTCATAATTTTCTTCACGGCAGCAAAGACACGAGTTTTCCAGTTGAAAGAGATCATAATTGTACCTAAAAGGCAACAGTTCAGTAATAAATACTTTGGAATGTCTTCTGTAATGTGACACTAATGCTTATAGTCTAATGCCTTGTCTGAAAGACTTAATAGTCTTTTAATCAAGTGTTCTTTTCCCAGACCTTTATCCCCTCCCCCAAGACAAAAGTCTGGTGCAGATCAGTGACAACTGGTATTGAAGGAAGCCTTAGAACTGGTATTGAAGGAAGCCTTAGAACTGGACAATGAAAACATTAGGGTACAAAAATGTAAATGAGAAAACTTTAAAACCATATTCAATATCAATTAATCTATATGTAAAACTCTACCTTAAGGAAAAATATAGTGCTATTCTAAAATTCAAGTTTAACACAATGTAAGGCATGCACTTCCTTGAGTAGGTCTCCTCTTCAGTCACTTCAGGAAAATGAACACATTTACCACCAGTACACTAAGCATGTTTAGAAAATCTACTTTGACATAACTGGTTGCTAAAATGTTTATTTCTCAGATCTTAATATTTTATGTATTTGTTTTCCTATGTTCTAATCAAACAGTTCTCTCGAGTAAAACTTCCCCATGCAAAGTTCTATGAACTTCATCTTTTCAACAGCGAACAAAGTTAATGCATAGTTCACATTCAAGGAAGAACTCACTTGATGGTCCTCTTGCATTCTCCAATGCATCTCGCCATCTCGATTTTTTTCCTGCAACCATTGTACTTAATAGTCACATTTACCGGCGAAGTTCGGCAATCACTCTTACCTAAAACAACACGGATAACGATAAAAGAGTGAGAGTGACCATTTTAACAATTATTAAGATTCTATTTTCTTAATCGAAGGGGAAAATAATATCAACTCCTTCACAATATTATTAAGGGCAATAGTTATCTCAGCCCTCCGTGAAATGCAGCTGTTTAATACTTGGGAAGATATCATCTGATTGTTGCTATGACTACAGGTAGAGAAGAAAGGAAGAAAGAAGCAATAGAGAAAGAGAGGTGAGTCAGAGGCACAGAGAATGCATGCTGGGATGTTTTGGCACATGCTTCAATACATGGATGTACAATACAGTTTGATGATGTCAGGACAGCAAGCTGATCCTTTTTTCTATAAAAAAAGTTTCCCTTATAAACATATGTACATTTTTTCCCAGGGAAGATTGCTTCAACCAATAAATAACTATACTACCATATGTATGAATGTCAGTTGGTAGTTTATATTACCTGTCAGATTCCTGTACTTCATGACTGGTTAAGTTTCTATTAGTGGTCTGTCATTTTGCCTTAAAGAAATGCTACCTGTTCAACTGCTTAGATATTTTTCTGTCTGTGGAAGCTAACTTACATTGATAGCAACACTTTTTTGAATCATAGGTCCTCTCTCCCTGTAGAAACAAGAGAAAATTGAAATGTTTATTATTGAAATAAAAATATGACATTTCTTAATATATTGAAATAGCATCCGAAAGGGGCAGGGGAGGGGAGCTAAGCAAGAATGGAGATGAGCTTGACATATTATTCAAGACTAAGATGTTTCCAGTAAGAGAAAGAAAAAGAAAAGGAACATACAAAATATGAAAACAAATTATCCATGTATTTTGAAGGACAAATACTTCACTAATGCTACCAGATGCTCTGAGCTTTTAGTCAAACTCTGTACTAAGCTATGTTTTACATTCAAACCTACAATGTCTGAAGATAAAATCTCAGTAAACCACTGTCATACAGTATTAGGAATCTAAAATAAAAAATGTAAATATATTACTAATTATAACTTTGGAAAAAAATAATCTGGTATTAAATATTCACTAAAAATCATATATTAGGGACAGAGAGATAAATAGTACAGATGTGTGAGATTTCAGAGAATTTGTATTGTTATAGGAAATTACTGACCATGAGCTTTTGTAAAAAAAGAATTGATGAGTTTTATGTTTGTTTAAAAATATAGCAAGTGTTTTCTGTAATAACCTACTTTTAGAAAGTCTTATAGAGTCAGCAAAATAAAAGCTTCCTGATGTAAGAACTATACTTAATAAAAGCAGACATTTCTGGAATTATCTGGTCCTTGACACATGAATTTGTTTGAAGATTTATGGAACTGACAAGGGATTTTTATTTCTTGGCCAAGAGCCAACTTTTCCGAAGGAGAAGGAAGGTATGCAAACAGAGGCTGAGCTTGAGACATCACTGTGCTGCCTTTAGCTAACAGGTGACTTACTTCTGCACACCAGGTCTGTCTTGGGCAGTCCTGGACCACAACCACCAGGCCAGTGCTGTGACAGGAGTAGGAGATACATGGGTTGCTGGGGTCATCAAAGGTCGCACCAATCTGCACATAAGGGCAGGGAGAGAAATTATTTGCCTTGATGTATTTATTCACTTAACAGTTAAACCAGTAAAACATGGATTTTAGTGTCTGTTAAGAGGCGTTTCAGGTATTAGGTTAAGGTTTAAAGAGAAGGAGGTTTGCATATCTTCCACGTCCATGAATGGAACTGAAATTCTTTATTGAGAGCACAAAATGTACCAAGATTCTCAGTCTTCAAAATAAAACTCACTGACAGTCACTGATTATATTTCTAAGAAGTTTTAAAGAAAATCTCTTTTGGACTGGAGAGATGGCTCAGTGGTTAAGAGCACAGCTGCTCTAGCAGAGGACCCCAGTTCAGTTCCCAGCGCCTATGCCACAAGGCTATCAGCATCTTCCTCTGACCTCCCAGGGTACCCGCATTCATGTGCACAGAGACACACATAATTAAAAATAAAATTTTTAAAAGTTTAATTAAGCCACCCAAATTCTTGCAAATTTGTCCTTGCTTAGATGGTTAAAGCTCTTAGATTGCTTTGTAATTAGTTTATGTCTGACATCCAAATCACAGTTTGAAAAGAGTGCTTATTTGGGAGCCTTAACCCACAAGATAAACTCCCTAATAAACTGAAATTTACTATCCAAGTTCTCCAGTGCATAAATTATTGGACCCTCCTTTTGGTCTTTATGCATCACATTTTGTGTCTGAAAACTATCCTGGTTTCTCAAGTCACAGCAACTTTGGAAATGGAAAGTTTAAAAAATATGTCAATGTGAATGTGATAAATGATTTGTGAAAGTCAAGACTCTTTCATGGGCTCTTTCTGTACTTTTTTAGCACACTTTACTTATTATATCATAGATTTTTTAAAGTATTTAGTAACATCAACTTACTAGGTATATTCATATCAGTTTGAGAACCATCTGACTTTTATGGTTTCATGAAGCTTTTTCTAAAAAGTTCAATTGCTGTCCAAAGTATGAACTCAGGGATTGGGACCTGTCCCTGCAAACAATGTGCTGCTAAGTCTGAGTTAGCGAATTGTAACCCTTGAGGGCTCTCATTTGATCTCTGGCAGTGTGACCATCTGATCTTCCTGGCTGTAATTACAGTTGGACTCTGTTTGTTGATTTGAATGTTACACAGTATGTCTTCTCCATCTGGAAGGATCCTGGGGACATTCTGTTCAGAGCTTCCCTGACGGTGGTCAATGATTCAGATCACCTCTCCTTCCGAAGGAGCACGGTGACAGCCACATGCTATGTTAGAAAAGGTTCTGTGAACAAGGGCCTATTCTTTGGTCTTTACCAAAACTTATTTTTAATCATTTTATCATGGTTACACATTGAAAGATCTCTGGCATGGCTTAGTATTACATTTATTCACATAATCATATTATCAAAATATTTGAGAGAAGAAAAGGCCTTACCTCATAATCAGTATTGTTATACAAACATGTTCTTGGTTCTGAAAACATAAATGCATGATTTTATTCTAAAGCAAACAATGTTTATTATTTCTGGAAAAGAATTTGTAGATAAGATCATACTTATCAGTCGATTATACTTTCCTCATAATTTCCATAATTGCTTTAATCTATTGATTATATTAATGTCTCTCAATTCTGAGTTTCCTTCAAGGATGGCAAGTTTAAGAAGCACTGGTCCTGTTTTATATATCATACTCTAACATCATGTGTGACATACTTGCTCAAAAATATCTCTTGAATGTATAAACAATCAAATGGTGGACTGTTTCAGTTCTTATAATATATTATGGGTACATACCACAGTGTCCTATTTCACAGCAGGAATCATTAGATTTGAATGTCACAAACTTTTCTTTAGACTTGCATGTGGGTGGAGGAGGACACTCTTTAGGCTTACAGTCTACAACCCGTGCATCAGAACAGGTGCATCGATGGCAATTAGATGTCCATATGTCTCCAGGCTAGGGATATAAACCAACTTTAAACTTCTATTCAAAAAGAGGCATGAAATAAAATTTAGATTAAAATAGAGCAGAACTGTGTACTTACAGATTTCTCTTCTCCCAGTGGACCATGGCACACTGTTAACATGAATGATAAATGCTAATTAAATTTGGCAAAATGCAACCATCTGCTATTTATAGATAACCAGCAGGGGGCAAATACTATAATTGACACTGGGATTTTAAAGGCTGAATTATGGAGGATTATACAATGCCTGAAGGTGGATAAATCACATCCACCTACTTCAAGCAAACTGTTCCTACAGGGTGTGTGTGTGTGTGTGTGTGTGTGTGTGTGTGTGTGCGCACGCTACTTTTTAAAATTCCCAGCAAAGAATAATTATTGTTTTCTCTTAGCAGTGGTCATTAAATTATATGACTACTATCCAGCTTACTGTTCTATAAAGTGACTTCTGCATCAATAATCCAACTAATCACCAAGTCTTTATCATTGGCTGATCAAAATGGCCTTAATCTAATATATGGATTCCCTGCCATGGGTGACATTAACTTGCACCTCCATGAGGATATTTTCTTTTCCTTAAATTTAACATTAGGAAAATCCTGTCTATAGTAGAAGTTCTTCTCATTACTTTAATTTTGTCCTTAGCTTTACCTGTGGGACTTTTTATCCACAGTGTCCAGCATTAAGTATAAGGTTCTTGGACTTCTAGCTCCATTTGAGATCTATCTCATGAGTTGTAGACACGGTTCTGTCTCCAGGAGTACATAGCATCCCAACAGATCTATAGAAACTTCTAACTCAACTATAGAAAAAAATTATGTCACCTTGCCCATGGAGCTTTCCCTTCTAGATCAAGCTTCCCTTTCAATCACTGATGGATCAGACTTACAGGACATTCTGATGATTGGCAGGTTGTCATCCAAGCCACCAGCAAATCCTGGCCCTCATCTGAATCCCTTCCTTTCCTTGCAGGCTCTTTCACCAGCACTGACCCAGCAACTCAGTGCTCAGATTGCTTTCTGATCCATTCAGCTCTCTATGCCATAGGTGAAACAATAGTCCTAATGCCCAGTTCTTTGCAATTGCTTTGATTTAAATGGAAGTCTTGTAAAGTAAACATTTTATTCTAGTTTCTAAGGTCCCCCATATTGAGACTGAAAGCTGCCTCCTCACCCTCTGAGCTCTCTCATTGCTCTAGATTAGTCTACGCATTGCTACTAAATTCCAGTTCTATAACGAAATGCCAAGCATCACTCAGTATATGACACACAACATGTATGCTCAGAAACACCCTACATATGACATAGAACATGCATGCTTGGAAACACCCTACATATGACATACAACATGCATGCTCAGAAACACCCTACATATGACATACAACATGCATGCTCTATATAATGCACATTTTAGTTTTCACTGTGAACTTTATTATCTGCCTTCTATGAAAATTGCCTGTATGCCTTTGCAAACTTCCCTGGTCCCACTAGATAGTGTTAAAATGATTTTTTATGGTGACTTACTGCAAAGTACACCACAGTATCTTGAGACTGGTAGGAACTAATAAAGTTCTCTGACATTGTTGAACTCTGGCACACTTGAAATTTTCTTGCCAATTCAACCCTAAAAGGCTCCCAAAGCTGGAATGCAGTTTGTTAAATGCTCATCATTAAGGGAGCACCTAAATTAACTAATTTTATCAAGGTATGTACTTACATGAAGGAACTAGTAGGCAAATCTTTATTATCTAAGTGCTATGGTGTCCATTGTTGGGCAGCGCTTATGACTGAGAAAAATACCTATTAGAAATTATTTGGTGAATAGAAGCACTTAGTTTCTTTATTCTATAACATTTTCATGGCCAGTGGTCTTACTGGAGTGATCTCAGACACCTGATTACAAGAAGACCCATCTCTGCAGAATCACCCTGCAATGTGCTCTCACCTGGGGCCGGTGGACGTGAGCCTGGACACTCTGTGAAAACAGGAAGCTCATTAGTCTTTGAAGTTCTGGAGTTTGTCAGTGTTGGGGGAAGTACAGTTCTCTAATTCATTATTCTATTGCTGAGAAGTGGCTACACAAGCCGGGCTTACAGACACCACCCATTTCTTCCTTTCTGCTCCTCACAGCATTTGAGATCCCACCACAGTGACTGTTTCCTTTAGACCTCAAAATCTTAAGGAAAAGAAATCTGAATTGAGAATAGAAGATACCAAGATATAGTCTCTTGAAAATTTTCTTGGAAAAGAGTTTTGACGATTAGCTCAATAAATACATGGAAAAGGGCAAATTGGGCATATGAAATGATGATTATTATAATATAGTTTTAATCACTTAAGAATTTTTATCCTCTTTTAACTTCTCCAACTACTTCAACTTTTTTCTACGTCCATCTCTACCAAATGCTTTAAGTTAGGTCATATGTATGTAAGCTTTTGGGTATTTGTACTTCACAGATTTGGGTCAACCCAATATTCCACTTACAAACTTTAAATTCTACTTCAAAATTTCTAAAATTCAAATTAGTATTGCTATTCCACCTATCAAGAGAAAAGAAAAGAAAAAAAGCTGACCTCCGAGACAGAAATGAACCTCTATTTCACCACACTCTACAGTATCACACTTTCTCTGTGTATTTTTGTGTTATCACACTAACTATAAAACAATATCTGTGCCTAAAAGCATTCTCTCTCTCCCCATCATAAAAATTATAAAATGGCAAATGTTATATCTTTTGCTTTTAATATATCCTACAGACTACAGTATATTTTAAGCGGTGAAGAAATGCTAGTAAAAAGGACAGTGACTGTGGAACTTCTCATACGGACCTGTTTTATTTCCAGCTTCCATTGCTCCCGTAGTGGTTTCTGGGGGAGGGAGGGTTACAAAGCCAATTCTTAGACAGAGTAGTAAGAACACACATCACATCATGCCTGTATGTGTTGCAAATGATGGCACAGATTCCTATGCAAGGAATTCCTCGCGGGAATAATCATTTGCAGTCATTGGAACTCTTCATATTACCTGGCTTGGATATGGGGGGGCCTGTTGTGACTCCAGCTGTAATCAAAGTGGAACCTGTCAAAGAAAATAATTATAGATTTCAGGACCAGCGCCACCCATAATGCCCTTCTCAGAGATCTCAAACTGAACCAGGCATGGTGGCACAGCTTATAATCCCAGACTTTGGAAAGCTGAGGTAGGCTCGCAAGTTTGAGGCCAGCCTGTGCTACATGGTAAGACTCTGTCTCAAAACACAAACAAAATCTCAAACTATATGGAACATCGCCATGAGAGGAGCTTGGTGAAAGCCTTGATTCTCAAAGGGCTTCAAAGTTGTACTGTAACAGTTTGACCCCCTCTTCCTGGCCCTGCTAGTGCTTGCTTCTTTATCAGCAGCCCTAAACTCAGCTCCTGATAGACAAACACAGCCACACGGATCTCTGAAGGGCCGAATAGCCAGCAGTCACTTGGTAATGCTCCAGGTCCTGATGTTACTTTGACTCTTGTGGAAGCAGTGAACTCTAACACAGGAAGATGCATGAACATGGTGACTGCAGGGTCCTGGAGAAACAGGTTACTTCAGACAAACCACCCTGCCCTCTGGGATGGGGCCAAGAGAAGCTCTTGTACTCTTATCTGATTGCCTGACCTGTGGTGGCAAGTCCAGGGACAGTGGTTGTTTCGGGTGCTTTCTTGGAGACACCTAAAGCGAGCAAGAACAGAGCTTTGCACCTGTTCTCCTCTCCTGTCCCTCAGGTACTGCACAGAAGGAGTCTCAGAGCACCCAGGGCACACTAGCACTAGTTCAGGTGCCTCTGGGTAGCACTGAGGCCCATTGTAGCATGCACCTGCACATAGAAGTAAACTGAAAACGCTCCAGGAACTTTTCCACCTCGATGTCCTCCTCTCAGTAATGAGGATTTCACACATAACTCTTTGAATTCATGTCTCGTTCTGTGTATTAGTTTGTGGAGAAGAGAAGTTACAGGACGATGAGAAAACGGGACAGTTCCTCTATTGACCAAGGGACTAATGTGCCAGCTATACAACTGCCTGTTTTCTTAGGTCATTTACTTTAGAAAACTTATTATCTGCCCCTTTGAGATGTAGATCTTCACCCAAGCTCTTGCCAGGCTTATAATTCAGGAATATCTTTCTGCAGAGCTGGGAAGCCATTAAAATGTAATTATCCCAGGTCTGCTGGCCCAAACCAATCACCAGGACTCTATCACCTTATAGGATAAATCCCGCAGCATCTGCTTTCTGTGGAATCTGGGAAAGTTGAGCAAGAAGTAGACAGCAGAGGAAGGGAGGGGGGAGGGAGGGAGGAAGGGAGGGACGGAGGGAGGGAAGATAGAAAGGAAAGAGAAAGGAAGGGAAGAAAGGAGGGACAGAGGGAAGGACAGAAGGAGGAATAGGGAGTGTGAAGAAAAAAAGTCCTATCTCTTCCTCTCACAGGTTTTGTTGGAGGGTAGGGGCCTAACTTGTACATTAAGTGACCTAATCACATATCAGCCTCTCACTACAGGGCCGCCAGTACTTTTCCATTAAATCACCTCAGCACTTCAAATTCTCCTGCCTTTTGCTTCAAGAGTCAGAGTGTAGTCGCTGTCTCCTACTGTGATGGTTCTGATCTCTACTGCAATAGTCTTGAATGAAGCCTTACAGCTTGCCACTATCTAGTAACAGCTTTCTCCGAAAGTTAAAATTTTATGCTCATTCATACAAATATTGGTTCTCTGAAATACTGAAGTTAGAGAAGAACATTGAGCCAGTCACTTCTTTTACCTGGGCTGGAACTTTCTGAGACTCCAGTGGTTCTGTCTGATGCTGCAGTGGTGCCTGCAAAGGCAAACGAGGGGCATTTTACATCTGGCACAGCTTCAGTGCCCATTCTCAGGGAGCAGCCGGAAAGACCCCATGCTGTGCCCATCTGCAGAGAGCAGCAGGAAGCAGAACAAAGCAGATGAAATTCTAGACCAGTGCTCCAGCTAGTCCATAGAGCATCTTCCTGAATGGGGCAGGTGAGGCCTCCTGGATTTTTCTCTTCCTGGGGAGGGATGCTTGATGTAAGCTTCCTTCCTCCCTTGCACTGTGTTGCGTAAGCCTTTCCAAAAACCTGGCCTGGGGGCTCTTGTCGGAACTCCAGAACAAGTTGATCACTTTTGATGGCTAAACCAAGTAGTTTCCTCAGGAGGGTCTGTCCTAGTGTATAGGCTTTACCTTCACCCAGGAGATTTAAAATGTGGACATTTACTAAGCCTTAAAAAAGGCAAAGAAGAATGATGTAAGGGCTTGTTCTATCAACACTACAGCAATCAACTCCAGAGAAGGGTTTTATTTTTCCTGGCTTAAATAGTTAGAGCCACTTGTTTATTTGTCCTTACCTGTATTGGAACTTCCAGAAATAACTGCTTTGCCAGAGGCTACCCCAGTGGCTCCTATAACAAGGTGTGCTTGTGTGGTGTGCAGAGGAGGCTTGCAAAGCCTTTCTCACCCTAAGAGTAAGACAGCATCAACTCTGCCTGCTTCTTTTAAGCAATAGAAAAGGACTTAACAAATTTTCTTTCACTGTGCTTAGCCGGATAGTTTTCTCCCAGGGTCCTGTCCCGTGAGTGCATGTTCAAAAGAAACAGGGAAGAAACTCACCATACCTCCTGGGTCCACTGCTTTAGAACTAGAATCCTGTACACTCTAGTTGCTACCTGAGACACAGTTTTGCTTAGATGCACATGATTTGCTTCCAAGGACTTGACCCTGATTCTCCAGGGTGGTAAAACAGGAAAAACAAATATTTTAAGTGACTAACTTTTCACTGGAGGGTTAGGTCTTGAAGCGTTAATTCAAACCTCCTGCTGTAGTTCTTCCCACTCACTTTCTTGGCTCGTAGCCCCACTGCGGCACTGCCCAGCGAAACAAAGAAAGTGGAGGTAGGAAGTAGCTGGAGTCATTCCTATGGTGTCTCCTCTGGGGAAACCAAGAATCTAATCTAGGTTGGCATTATGATCTTCAATCTGTATATAGTAAAGGCAAAAATCACTAGGATCCAAAACAGGGAAAACTTCCAAACACCTCCCTTAAAAGTTGTGGCTTTCATGAGGAAAACTTAGGTGACAAGGTATAAATATGCAAATAATTTGGAGCAGAGAATCTCCCCCAGAGCCATTTAAAGGAAGGCTCCCCTTAGTACTTGACCTACTTGTTTGGGGACCCCCAAGTGGGGCTGTAGCCCCAGGATCTGTCTCATTGGAATGTGGGGTGGGGGAGAGAGGGAAGAAAGAAACAGGAAAAGGGGGAGAAACCATAGCAATGCTCCCCCCTAAGAACAGGATGGATTTGAATAAATTCACATTTTCAGTGATCAGGAAAGGGGCTTTTTTAACCAAAAAGAAACACTGTTTTCTTACAAATGTCCTCGTTCTTTTGCTAGGCTTACAAGTCTGGAAAGAAGCTATTTTTCTAGGCTCACTTGTTTTGTTCCCTGTGACTTGGCTTCTGTGGGGAACCTTGCAGGGGTAAAATTAATTTAAAATTCGTGGGACTTTTGTCATGAGACTAAATCCATGTTAATGGGTGGATTTAAACACTCTAGTCATGGGGGCTGGCATTTTCAAGGTCTCTTGAACTCCAGCTGAATGACAGTGGCACATCCTGCTTGGCTCCTAAAACTGTGTCTAAAAGGCTAGAGGACGGAGAAGGCCAGCCTGAAGTCCTAGCCTGGCTTGCTTGAAATTCATTAAGTACAAACCACCACAAGAAGGAAATAAAGTGAATTTTGTCAAAAGAACCCTAAGCCCTGCCAGTGTCCATCTCGCCATCTACTACACGCCTCTGCGAACTGCCACCCACACTGCAGACTGAAAGACTTGGTCACTTACCAGTTGCTGTCCTAACTGCAGTGGACACTCTGACTTCTGCAGAAGTTGGAGCCTCTGAAAAGAGAAGGGAGAAAGCCTGGGATGCAGACATCTGGGAAATGTGCAGCCCTGGGACTTTACACACGATCCCTGCAGGAAGCATCAGGTCTCCAAAGTTCACAGACAAATTTCTCCAATTGTTTTCATGACTCACCTGTGTGGGAACTCCCAGGGGCAACCGTTGTGGCAGGAGTTGTCCCCGTGGTAACTGAAATCACAGAAGAGAGCTAATTTATGAATCTCTTCCATCTAAAATTGGGGTTTGGTTTGGATTAAATCTATGGCTCTCTTGGGTGAACTTTCTGGCCTTAAGTGATGTTTCGTGCATGTTTCCTTGTGCAACCGACAAGGAGAAACGTGTCATCACCCAGGCAACTTGTTGTTAAAGAGAAACTGGAAGACTCTTCCACAAATTCGTTCTAGCACACGATTTAAAAATTGCGTGGTGGTGCTCGCCTGTTTTAACTCCAGCACCTGTGGTTGTACCGCTTCTTAAAGAAGTTGTAGCCTTTAAATGAAAGAAGATAAGAGAACTAAGAGTTTGTTGTGTGTCTGAGAGGACGACAGGAGCCCGTTCCATTACTGAAGCTCCTGCTTCCTGTTAGGCTGTGGTTTGCCTGCGTTGGGACTGTCAGGTGCAGCTGTCATACCAGTGGGGTCTGCAGTAAAGAGGGAAGGAGTGACTATCAAGGCAAAGGTGCACTCGTCATCTTACGAGCGTGCCAACAATGGCCGTGGCTCAAAGGCAAAAGGCCCTAGCGTTAGTGCCAGAGGTACCAGGCCTCCCTCGTGTTCTGTGCTTCGCTGCTGGAGTGTGGCTTCCCAGGGGTGCCTGGGGTGGCTGCTGGTGACAAGAATGGACTCAGTGTTTGTGTCAATGCATTCAACTTCATTCAGTGAGTAAGCTGATCGATAACTGCTAAGGAAGGGGCAGATATGATTAAGATGCATTGTATGAAATCCACAAAAATTCGGTAAAAATATACTTTTAAAAAATCCACTTACTTGTGGTGGAACTTCCAAGATCAACAGTTGTGGCCAAGAGTCCAGTGGTACCTAAAATCACAGGGAACGGAACGGGCATGTAATCACCACATATAATATATCTAAACTTTTAGAGTGACTTCCATCACCTCTGCTCCTCTAACTAGAACTATCTGGATACATATTGTCTCCAGAAGACACCATGGAAATAACTTGAATGTCAAAAGATAGTCTTTCTGAACTCTGAGCTTCTTCACGATTTCAGTGTAAGGTTTGCTTCCAGAAGAGCTTTTATCATTAATGTCAGATTTCATGTCACAAATGTGTCTATGGAAAGGCACAGACTGAGAACAAATGAGTGGAAATTCAAGCGACAATTCCACTGGTTGTGCCTCCCGTGCTGGGAGTTGAGGGTTAGAAAGTGACTAGGAAGAAAGCAAGTGTGGGCTAAAGTCAGAAGAAGGTCTAGTGTTATTTCTCCAAAGTTAGGGCCTCAGAAGAAATCCTGGCACCTGCTGTGCATTGACTCACCAGTTTTGAGATTACCAGATGAGATACTGCTGACAGGGACCACCATGCTAACACCTAAAACCAAAGTGAAAAGGTTGTTTCTGTCAGTTTTATTCCTATACCATTCAAGATTATCACGGCACTATTTACAGTTACGGAGTCAGTCTTCATGTCTGTCAACAGATGAACAGACAAATAAAAGTGTGGTATGCATACACAATGAGTTTTATCCAGCCTAAAGAAGGAGATCCTTGTATATCCACATTTATTGTTGCTCTATTTACAACAGCTAGGAAATGCAACCAGTCTAGATGTCCATCACAGATGAAAAGCAACAGAAAACGTGATACAGATAGATAACAGAATTTCATTTCACTGTAAAAAACAAAGGCGGTGGAAGGCACGTTTGGAGCTGCGTATCTCTCCCCAAGGCTGTATCTGTAATGGGATTGCCTTTAAACACCAAGGGACACCTGGGGACACAAACCTTTCTCGATGGGCCTTAACATTTGTGACAAAGAGCATGGAGTCCGCTGAGTGGGCTATGAGGAGTACAGGTAAGGGGACAAAATATGATTAAGATGCATTGTATGGATCCATGAAAGTTCAATAAAAATGTAGTTTTAAAAATCCACTTACTCGTGGTGGAACTTTCAGGAGCAAGAGTTGTGGCTGAGTGAGCTGTGGTACCTGAAATCACAGGGAAGGGAACAGGCATGCCATTTCTTTACATTAAAAGAAGGGCTAAAAAGAAAACACATTATATAATATGCTACATTTAAGTCACAGAAATCCTAATCCAGATTTTTTCACGCTTTTCCACACATTCTTCTTTTGGGGGGGAAGGGGTTAGACACAAAGGCTAATCTTATAGCAGTTTCACCTTATCCAGAAACTGTCAGGGGCAGAGTCTTACTGTTTCATGCGTTTCTTTTTGACTGCCAGAGACCTAGCATCTCGGTGCAGAGGTTTGCACTGATAATCATGGATTTTGAATGTTCAAAGAGTCCACAAATTCAAGTTATTACAAAGAATTCACTGACTGCTCAATTTGACCTCGGACTGTTAACTGCCTTTTTAGTTCAGAGAAAGTCCCATCCTCTTATAAAAAGGGTAAAAGAACCATGAGGACTTAGGTTAGGTTTGAAGAATCCAAGGAAATCACAGTAGGATCACGACTGGGGGTGGGGGTGAGGGCTCATGTGGGCCCTGTTGGAAATCTGGGCCACGTGGTTCTACATTCAAAGCTCGGCTCGGGTTCCCTTGAAATAACACAGCCTCAAAAGCAAATTAAAGAAAGAAAAAAAAAACGAGAACTCCATTCTACTTTAAAGTAGCATACTGTAGTATCTTTATAAACTCTGTGATTAAAAATAATTGCAAAATAAAATATATGTATCATAATCACTTTCCTCAATGAATCTATCAGTGTGGTACCAAACCACAGTAAACAGTGGAAGCCCAGACTCCGCATCTGGTTTTATATCCACTGCACATGTGCCACCTTCCCCAGGGAGAGCTGTAGTCACTTAAAGGGGGAAGAAAACCAAATTGAACTGAGTATGAATGTCGATGAGCGTAGTAAGTTGTGATGTGGCAAACCACCAGAAACTGGTAGTCACATCGTAAGTCAGAACAGAATCCTTCCTACTATAAAAGCAATGTTCAATACCATTTTTCATAAAAGTCAAGGATAATTTTTTGAAATTCGTATCTTTCTCAACTGGGTCTAATTTTGGAATAATTTACAGACACGTAATAAAAAGCATAGTCCAGAACTTATAAGTGACAGATACACCAAATACTATTCCCATCCTTATTACTATTTTATGTATTACACTTCCCACATGCAAGAATTTTGCCGGTAGCCACCACATCGAAACTTGAAGTTAGAGAGCGATGGGGATAAGTGTGTCAGTTTTTAACCACAATGGGGCGAAAATGAGCTCAGAAAGGGTTAAGAGGCCGCTATTAATTTCCAAGCTCTTGCCCGCAGTTTCTAGTAGTGCATGGGTTTTCATCTTTGTGTTTTTCCATGCACCATTTGTATCTAACAGAAAATCTAATGGCAAAAGTTTCAACAACTGGATCATTTCCTTTCCTCATCAAAGAGAAAGGAGACCAGTTCTTGCCCAATACCCGACTCGTTCTCAGTTCTTGGCCCCATGGTAAAGCCTCCTTCCAGCAGAAGAAAGACAGAATTAGAGCATGTGGCCTCATGTTATTCGGTCAGATCCTAACTACCTAGCAATTTTCACTCCAAAAATGTTCTCTCCCTGAGATACAAATACCAGATGCAAGTCAAGCAATTCTACCAGGAAGTGTTGGAAGTGTTTACCTGCAGTGGTTCCTACTCCAGCTGTTCCATTTTCTCTGGAGGAAGTTGTAGCTGCTGAGAGAGAAAAGACATGCATGGAAAAGACTGGGGGGGCTTGGGGTGCAACCGTGGCACGTCTGCACAGAAGTCCCAAGAGGGAAGCTGTTGTTGCAGGAAGGACTCTAAGGAGTTTCTACCAAAATGTGAACTCAACTCTGCTGTGCTGGAACTTCCTGGGGAAAGTCTAGTACCAAGGTCTCCCCCAGAGGTGTCTGAAACACGGGGTCTCTTGTCAGAGCAATTAGGGGGACCTGAATCTAAAAGGGATGCATGTATGCATTCTGTCATTTAATGGAGTACACAGTAAAGTCGATGCATTTTCTTCTTTACAACCAAAGCAATAAAGAACATTGCCAATTTGAAATATTTGTTTGGAATCTGATAAAAGGAAAACTAAATGGTTCTCCTCAGTGTCCCTTTGCTTCATGCCCTGTTGCTGCAGTGACCCCTGCTGTCCTGTAGGAAAACAGGGATAAAAGATTTAAATGTGTTGAAAATTTGAATGTCAGAACAAACAAATTTTGTACACGTGTCTACGCTGTAATGCACCTGGTCCCTGGGGCTTCTTCTCTTTCTCACATGCACGGAGCTATGGATTTCTGCTAAGATGCTGGTGACACCTGTGGAGGAATCCTCAGAGCAGCCAGTCTCAATTCCACAATTAGGAGATGTTCAAAGTTATTTCTAATAGCAAACCTATTCTGCTCCATTTGCAGTGCCCCTAGGTAAGATGCAAATGTTCTTGATGAGATTCATATGCACTCTATGGCCCACATCAACAATGTGATGAAAACAGTAATGGTCCCCATCTGAAGCCCTCCCTGAAGATCCATCAGCAAGGGAGTGGGAAACAAGGTGATATTGTGACAGGTGAGCCTGATGCCACAGTGGTTCCTGTCATGGAATCAAAAACAGAAAAACATTTGAACATGCCAAGAACATGGGGCGAGACAGCGTCACCACTGCACTTGTTCATGTAGGATGACCCTGCTCTCAGGGTTCAGATTGCTTTTTCCTTTTTCTTCTAACACCTTAGTGGTATGTATGTCATCACAGCAATGCCCTTCATGCTGACGGCTCAACCAGCCCACATTTAAGAAGTTACAGCTATAAAACTCACAATGTCCTTGGGCCTGTTAGCAACATCCTCTGTTCCAAAGGCCAAAAATGTCAAAAGTATTTGGGATCTTGTATCTAATCCTTAAAAGAGTTTAGGGTTACCTCTTCAGAGGGGGGAATGTTAGAGTAGCCAAAAGCCCCATAAAAAT